ATTTACTATTATTTTTATTCAGATACAACACAGTCACGCTATTAAGTGATCTGTACCCCTTTTTTAAAACTTTTATTATTTTTATTATGATATTCGAAATAAACCATTGTAATGTTCAGTTATTACAAGGTCATATCATTGCCAGTCGTGACCTTCACTGACCTTCACTCTCAGACTCGAACCTCCAAGTATATGTCTCATGCGCGACCGGTTTATGGGAGAGGCAAAGATGGTGTTTATTGAAGGTTTTAAGTTATTTGTTTTATGGTATAAGCTTGTTTTTCCATGACCTGGTGTGATGTTTTGTTTGGATAATGGTTAGGATTGGGTGTAGTGATGATATTATGTACTTGTATAAACACACATAAAATACATTTTCGCTAAAAAAAATCACATACACATTCTCACAAACGCACACATTCACATTCATATATCACACAGGGGTGGGTACATACACACACACACAAACACATTCATATTCACACACACACATTCATTCATATTCACACACACACATTCACATTCGCACACACACATTCACATTCGCACACACACATTCACATCATATTCACAACATTCAATTCACATTCGCACACATTCACATTCACATTCGCACACACACATTCACATTCATATTCACACACACATTCATTTCATATTCACACACATTCACATTCGCACACACACATTCACATTCACATTCGCACACACACATTCACATTCATATTCACACACACATTCACATTCATATTCGCACACATTCACATTCACATTCACATTCAACACACACATTCATATTCATATCAACACACATTCACATTCACATTCGCATTCACATTCGCACACATCACATTCACATTCACATTCGCACACACACATTCACATTCACCACACACACATTCACATTCACATTCGCACACACACATTCAACATTCATACACACACACATTCACATTCACATTCGCACACACGTTCATTCGCACACACAATTCACATTCGCACAACACATTCACATTCACACACACACACACAACACACACACATTCACACACACAACTCATTAAAAAAAAACAAATAATATTCAAACACATATGCTAACAGCGTGTGTGTCTGCCAGCTGATCACGTACGTATTGCCTAGAAATAATTCATCTTAAATCGAGAAAATAATCAAAAATTACAATTATGAGTGACATCAACCTCGTAAGTACAGTCAAATCTCTGGTTTAACGGACCCCCCAACAACGGACATCGGATCTAAAGGACCGTTTCCCCCTTTATCAGTCCGTTAGGCCGAGGTTGACTAATATGCAAAATTTGTAAAGGGAAAGTAAAAAAAAGAAAAAAAAACACTATCTTATCTATGAGAACTGCTTTCAATGACCATAAATTCAACGAAAAAAAAACAAATGAATCATACCTTTCAAACCTCAAGTAACAAAAATAAAAAAATAAATAAATAAAAAATAAAAATAAAATGAAAATGAAAAAAAAATGACAATAAATAAAAAATAAAAAAAAAAAAAAAAAATAAAATAAAAATAACAGAATGAATAAATAAATAAAACAAATAAAAAAATTTTCTTGTGCACCCAAGCGCCACGATGGACAAGGACATGCAGTGGGTCCACCGGGGCTACGGCAAGAACCACGTGAAGCTGCTGCACCTTCGTCGGGAGGGTCCTGTGCACAGCGTCAAGGAGTACGAGGTCAACACGGCGCTCACCCTCGACAGCGACAAGGACTACATCGTCGGCGACAACTCGGACATCATCGCGACGGATTCGCAGAAGAACACGGTCTACATCCTGGCCAAGAACCATGGGGTGAGTCGGAGGGAGGGAGGAGGAGGGAGGGAGAGAGAGGAAGGAGGGAAGGAGGGAGGAGGAAGGAAGGAAGGAAGGAAGGGAAGGGAGGGAGGGAGAGAGAAGAAGAACACGGTCTACATCCTGGCCAGAACCATGGGGTGAGTCGGAGGGAGGAGGGAGGGAGGGAGGAGGGGAGGGAGGGGGGAGTGGGAAGGAGGGGATAGGGAGGAAGGGAGGAGAGAGAGAGCGAGGTTAGGGAGGGAGGGTGGGTTTGGATGGGAGGGAAGGGAAGGGGATAGGGAGGAAGGGAAGCGGGAGAGAGAGCGAGAGAGAGAGAAGAACACGGGGTCTACATCCTGGCCAAGAACCTGGGGTGAGTCGGAGGGAGGGGAGGGAGGGAAGGGGAAGGAGGGAGGGAGGGAGGGGGAAGGAAGAGAGAGAGAGAGCACACGGTCTACATCCTGGCCAAGAACCATGGGGTGAGTCAGAGGGAGAGGGGAGGGAGGGAGGGAATGAGAGGAGGGAATGGGAGGAGGGAGGGAGGGAGGAGGAAGGGGAGGGAGGGAGGGAGGCAGGCAGGCAGGCAAGGAAGAAGGAAGAGAGAGAGAGAGAGAGAAGAACACGGTCTACATCCTGGCCAAGAAACCATGGGGTGAGTCAGAGGGGAGGGAGGGAGGGAGGGAGGGGAAGGGAAGGAGGGAGGAGGGAAGGAAGGAAGGAAAGGAAGGGAGGGGGGGAGGGAGGGAAGAGAGAGAGAAGAACACGGTCTACATCCTGGCCAAGAACCATGGGGTGAGTCAGAGGGAGGGAAGGAGGGGAGGAGGGAGGGAGGGAGGAAGGGAGGGAGGGAGGGAAGGGGAGGGGGGAGGGAGGGAGGAGGGGGAAGGAAGGAGGAAGGGAAGGGGGAAGGGAGGTGGGAGAGGAGAGAGAGAGAAAGAACACGGTCTACATCCTGGCCAAGAACATTGGGCGAGTCAGAGGGAGGAAGAAGAGAAGGGATTAGGGAAGGATGGAGGGATGGGGGGAAGGAGAGGAGAGAGAGAGAGAGAGAGAGAGGAAGAGAGAGAGAGAGAGAAAAATGAAATGAATATAGATCACAAAATAAAACGGCCTCAGGTCCCTGTAAAGGCAACCCCGCCCTCTGCTCCTGCAGGTGAAGTCGCCGGAGGACTTCGCCCTCCTGCTGTGCTCCCACTTCCTCAGCAAGTACAGCCACGTGGTCTCCGTCAAGGTGGACGTGGAGGAGTACCCCTGGCGGCGCCTCGTCACGGAGGGCAAGGCGCACAACCACGCCTTCCTCTTCTCGCCGGAGGTCCTCCACACGTGCTCCGTCTCGCAGGACCGCGGAGGTGAGGCCCCGCTCGCCCGCGTCAGGAGGGCTCCCTGTCTCGCCTTCGCTCCCCTCGCAGCTGCGTGAGGGGAGCGAAGGCCTAGAGGAAGGATTCCATTGCCAACTCACTCGCTCGCGTTGCTCCTTAAGGCAGGAAGGCCCTCAGCCTCGAGGCCAAGACCCGCGGCCGCCGAGCCAAGGGACCCGCCCTCGCGCCCCTCTGACCTCTGACCTCCCTTCCCCCAGGGCATCCGCTCGTGTGGACCGGCCTGCAGGGCATGCGGGTCCTCAAGACGACCCAGTCCTCCTTCACCAACTTCGTCAGCGACGAGTTCCGCTCCCTGCCCGACATGGAGGACCGCCTCTTCTCCACGGTGGTGGCCGCGTCGTGGCAGTACGAGGACGTCAAGGACATCGACTTCGGCAGAATCTGGTGAGAGAGTTATGCTGTGTATGATGTCATGATTCATTATTTCTTTCCATTGCACATACATATTTTTCCATTCCATTTCTACATCTCTGTCTGTCTATCTGTGTGTGTCTCTCTCTCTCTGTCTATCTGTCTCTCTCTTCTTTGTCTTGTCTCTCTCTCTCTCTCTCTGTCTCTCTCTGTCTCTGTCTGTCTCTCTCTCTCTGTCTGTCTGCCTCTATCTATCTATCAAGCTATCTATCTCCTTCTCTATTCCCAATCCCCATCTCTCCTCACCCCTAATTCTCTCTCTCTCTTACCCTCATTCTCAACCTACTTTCCTCCATCCTCATAATGCCTAATCTGATTTAATATCAATACCTAATTACCCTTCCACCTTCTCCCCCTATCCCATCCCCCCCTTTTCTCATCTCACAGGATAAAGATGCAGAAGATAATCTACGATAAGTTTGCCGGTCCTCCCGACTACGGCATCTACTCGCCATCGGTCCAGAACACCGTCTTCCTCATCCAGGACACGGCGCTCAAGGAGATCCCGCAGGTGAGTTGCCGACGATTTGTACTTGAGGGTGAGTTGTCGACTTCGATTTTTTTTCTCCTTTTTGTATCCGTTGCCGATCTTTTTTGTACGAGGTGAGTTTTGATTTTCTTCTCTTTTTTGCATCTTGAGAGTGAGTTGCCGACGTCCATTTTCTCTTTTTTTTCTACTTAACTGGGATCGTGCAGGTTGAGTTCCGACATCGGTTTTTTGTACATCCGACGACGTCCTCTTTTTTTGTACTTACTCTGAGGGTGAGTATTTTCTTCTCCTTTTTTGTATTAAGGGAGGAAGATCCAGGAGGTGAGTTGCCGACGTCGGTTTTCTTCTCCTTTTTTGTACTTAAGTGGAGGGAGATCTTGAGGGTGAGTTGCCGACGTCGGTTTTCTTCTCCTTTTTTTAATCCTTCTGTGGAGGGGGATCTTGAGGGTGAGTTGCCGACGTCGGTTTTCTTCTCTCTCTTTTTTTCATCCTTTCTCATGTGGAGGGAGATCCTGCAGGTGAGTTGCCGACGTCGGTTTTTTTCTCCTTTTTATCCTTATGTGGAGGGAGATCCCGGAGGTGAGTTGCCGACGTCGGTTTTCTTCTCCTTTTTTATCCTCATTTGGAGGAGATCTTGCACGTGAGTTGCCGACGTCGGTTTCCTTCTCTTTTTTTTATCCTTACTCATGTGGAGGGAGATCCCGCAGGTGAGTTGACGACGTCGAATTTTCTTCTCTTTTTTATCCTTATGTGGAGGGATATCCTGCGGGTGGGTTGCCGACTTCGGTTTTCTTCTCTTTTTTTTATCCTTACTCATGTGGAGGGAGATCCTGCACGTGAGATGAGAGGCATTTCTGGGTCCGAGAGGATATACTTACTCATAATGTTGGTGCTTAATATATTTACTCATAAGATGGCTTCATATACTTACTCATATTTTTTGGGGGATCATATATTTTACTCATATCGCGGTTTCATTCATTGTTTTCATAATTTTGGAGCTTGGTGTATTTATTCACGCAGCGGTTTCATTTACTTATTCATATTTTGGCTTGATATATTTACTCACATTTTGGTTTCATATATTCAGTTATATTGACCTTCCTTCCTGTGAATACTTATCCGTGGGCTTCATTTGCTTACATTAATCTTCCCCTTTTATATCTATGAGTATAATGGCTTCATATATTTACTTATAATGTCCCTTCGCCTTTATGCTTACTTAATATAAAAGCCTTTGTCTTCCCTTTTATTCTTACTTATAAAGTTGCTCGTTCTGTTTAGGCCCTGTTCAAACGAGCGATTTTAGTGGCCCAACTGATAGAAGCGCGACTACTGAGTGAATGTTCACACACGGCGCTTACAGTGGTCCGACTCGTCTTTCCCCCACTCTTGGCTGGGAGAAGTGGAGGCTACTGTTGCCTGTCTGTCTGCCTCCGGTCGACGTGATGCTCTCTCATTGGTCGAACCCCACCCACTTCAGCTAATGAAGCGTGCCATCACCATGAAAACGCAGTGGCTATCGCCGTGTGTGTGTGTGCTGCCGCATAGCATGTACCTCAAGTCGCTGAGCAGATGGGCGACTGAGCCACTACGTGTGTGCACTCCTGTTCACTTCCATTGACCTGGCAGTCGCGCTTCTAGCAGTCGCGCCTCGAAAGTCGCTCGTCTGAACAGGGTCTTACTTAAAATTATCTTATATGTGTAGTGTGCCTTGTTTATCATTTTTTTGTATTTCGGTTACGGATGAAGGACAAGAAGGGGAAAAGAGGGAAGAATGGAGAGAACAAAACGTCCTTTTAAAATCGGGGAAAGAAAGGAAAGTTCTTAATAGCAAAACATTTAATAAAACGTCTTTCCATGTTGGTGTGAGAACACGATATAATAACCTGATATGTCTTCCTCTCAGTGGATGAAAAACAAATCAAACTAGATTTATTGAAATTGAGCCAACAGTTTTGAAATCCTCATGGACATGAAGATGGTATCCAGAAGGATACTGTTGTTTCAATTTCAATATATCTGGTTTGTGCCTTTCTCTCTCTCTCTCTCTCTTATTTTTTTCTCTCATTAACCTTTCTCTTTCTCTCTTCCCGTCACAGATAACCCAGATAAAGGTGACGATGCCCAACAAACACTACTATGGCGTCGACCTCAGCAAGTTCCCGGATGTGGGAAGCCAGACAAACGAAGATGTTTTCCTTCCAATCGACAAGCCATCAGGAAATATTTCCGGCACCCTCGGGAGAAAGATGTCATCAAAACTCTAAGAAATGAAAGAAAAAGAATGATCAAAATATGAACTGATGATGATAAATGATGTTAAAATCACCTGCTTGGTTAGAAAGCCACTATATTACATGGGAATCGTAAGTTTGTATTTCATCCTGCCGGAGCCACGTATATCCTTGTGTCGTATCGTAACTGGACTGAGTTAAGGAGAGACGCGTAATAAAGGGCGTCGGAATAATGAGTTAGGAACCGAACCCGAAGCTTGTTTCGAACTTTCTCGCATCGTGTCTCGCTCAGTTTGAGTCCGTTCAGAAGCTGTCTCTTATCAAAATAGATTTGGTATTTTGCAGAAAAGGTCTTCTTCTCCTCATAACAGCTTATATGTAAAACGATGAGTATTGCCACTTCAATCAGTCACTTCAGTCAGTCACACAGCTTATAACCCAGTGGAGTATCGCCACTTCAGTCTGTCACTTCAGTCAGTCACACAGCTTATAAACCACTTCAGTCAACCACACACTTTATAACCTAGTGTAGTATCATCTCGTCAGTCAGTCACTTCAATCAGTCACACAGCTTATAAACCAGTGAATCATCATCACTTCAATCAGTCACACAGTACATAACCCAGCGGAGTCGCGTCACGTCACTCACTTCAGTCAGATTCAGTAAATACGAGACGTTCATAAATTTCGAATCATTCAGAGAACGACCAATAAGCTGCCAGTGACTCGAGCAGCAGTGTAGCTCAGCTGATACGCGCAACCTCACCCTTCAACAAAGACTTTATAAGTAATAAGGGCTTGTAAGTAATACGTACTTGTATAGACCTTATACTTGTAGCGTGTACTTATAGAATCCTTTTAAAATGATGTGCAAAATAAGCTGAGAGGTTCCTTCAAGTGTTACGCTGGGGTTACTTATGATATCCTGTTCTGCGAGTATTCAACATTACTTATAAGAAGGATAAGTGATTAGAGAATAGTATGTTCATGGTGTTACTAATACATATGTATATATAGAGAGAGATTTTACATTTTTTGGCAAATCACGTTTAACATAATTGTTGTTTTGTTTAACAATAAATGGTCGAAATGTGTCTTTTTTGAGATGTTTAGGCCTGTGCTAATAAACTAATATATTTTGTTAATATGTTGTTAAAAATAAAGTTTTAAAACATCTTTCTTTTAACTATTCCAAACGTTATGAAATTTTACAAAGTAGCTTGAAAATATATATACGATTCTATCGGTGATATTCCAAATATTTTTTTCAAATTGAATATCAAAATATTTATTCATTCCACACATCTATCACTAGACATATTTTTCCAATTAATTCATTACAAATATCCTTATACTCAGATCGAACAATTCTATAATATATTTAATTCACTAATTGCTTAATATAGTTATTTCAAAATATCTTAGTTGATTACTGTTTATTTATTCACTTTTCTGTAGAAAGTGATACGTAATGTATATAGATAATATATTGATTACTGATTTTTATTCACTTTTCCATGCATAATTATTCGATTAGATATCAAATATAGATAAAATAATTGCCAATATCCACGTTATCTTCACCGTCATTTAAGGTTCAAGAAAAATTCAAAATAACGGTTTTATTTTATTTATTCTAACCATCACCCTTTTGTGTTTATTGTTTATGTTTATTTGTGTGTGTTTTTTCTCCTGTTTATTTACTTAGTTTATCGCCCGGATTGTTAGAACTATGCGACTCCCAACCCAATGAATAGATAAATTCATATCTATCAGTCTAGACATCCATATCTACCGGATAGATATATATAGAATAATATATCTATCAGTCTAGACATCCATATCTACCGGATAGATATATAGAATAATCTATCAGTCTAGACATCCATATATATCGGATAGATATATAGAATAATCTATCAGTCTAGACATACATATATACCGGATAGATAGATAGATTAATGTATATCTATCAGTTAGGCAGATATGCAATTATTTCTGTGTATATACATGTCTGTATATATGAATATTCATTGGGTCGAGCCTCACGCAGTTTTAACAAACCGGTCGCTTAATTCCAGTTTACAGATTTGTTTTTATTTAGTCATTTGTATTTGATAAAACATCTTTCATGAAATGCAATATAAAACTAATATAAAAGACATCTCTAAACTTGATTTATAAAAATCATCTTAATATACTGTGATTATATAAAACAACAATTCAAATATAAATCATTTGAATCACAAAAACAAGAACAAGAATAGGCCTAAAACATGTTATCTTTCATATTTGTTCGTATATCTATATATTCTCTAGAACTATCCTCCTATCTTTCTTTTTCTTTATTCATTTACGTTTCAACTATTCATTTATTTATTCATCTTTTATCGTTCTATTATCCACCTTCCCTAAAAAAAATGTACTCGTTTTTCTTCTTTTTGTTTTCTTTTATTTTCGTCTAAAAATGTATACCCTACATGCGCATCCCGTCTGTCTTTTTTTCTTTGTTTATCTCCGTTTGTCTTTTTTTTTCTTAATTTCTCTTTTATCTTCGTCTAAAAATGTATACCCTGAATGCGCATCCCGTCTGTCTTTTTTTCTTTACCTCCGTTTATCTTTTCTTTTCTTAATTTCTCTTTTATCTTCGCCTAAAAATGTATACCCCACATGCGCATCCCGTTTGTCTTTTTTTTCTCTCTCTTTGTTTATCTCCTAGAGCTTGGAATGCGCCTTCCTGCCCAGTGTGCTGGTGATGTTTCCCGCCGGCTTGTCGACGGGGAGGAACACTTCGTCGTTCTTGGTGGTGCCGACTTCGGGGAACTTGCTGAGGTCGACGCCGAAGTAGTGCTTGTTGGGCATCGTCACCTTCACCTGCGAGATCTGCGGACGGAGGGAAAGGAGAGAGGTAATCATAGATGCACATACACACGCATGGCAACGCAAACAACACGCACGACACACACACACACACACACACACACACACACACACACACACACACACACACACACACATATATATATATATATATATTATATATATATATATATATTATATATATATATATATATATATATTTATACTATATATATATATATATATATATATATATTGTGGTGTGTGTGTGTGTGTGTGTGTGTGTGTGTGTGTCTGTGTGTGTGTGTGTGTGTGTGTACTACATACATGATATATATATAATATATATATATATATATATATATATATATTATATATATATATATGTGTGTGTGTGTGTGTGTGTGTGTGTGTGTGTGTGTGTGTGTGTGTGTGTGTGTGTGTATATGTATATGTGTATGTGTATGTGTATGTATGTATGTACGTATGTTTGTATATATTGTGTGTGTTCAAATTCCTTTGCCGTTTTTTTAACACATTTTAAAATCATTAGTCACAGCAATAGTGAGAACTTGATAACCATGATTACAGCAATCAACATGATCATAGCGCCGGATAAAACGAAAATAAAGCCTATAAAAAAAAAGTCCGATGTCATGTAATAACGAGGACCCAGCGACCGAACTGGTTTTGTTTTTGTTTTTCAGTCCTTTGGCGTCTATGGGGGGGGGGGGTCTGAGGGGTGTGGGGTGGGCGGTGACTGAGACCGTGTTTGGATATTTGTGTGTGTGGTGTGGGTGTGGGTGTGTTTCTGGGTGTTTTTCCGGAAGGGTTTTGTTTTTGTTTTCAGTCCTTGTTCTTGGGGGTCTGGGGGTGTGTGGGGGGGGGGCGGTGACTGAGACCGTGTTTGGATATTTGTGTGTGGGTGTGGGTGTGACTGTGTTTTTCTTTTGTGTGTGTGTGTGTGTGTGGTGTGTTTCTGTGTGTTTTTCCGGACGGGGTTTTGTTTTTGTTTTCAGTCCTTTGGCGTCTATGGGGGGGGGGGGTCTGAGGGGTGTGGGGGGTGGTGACTGAGACCGTGTTTGGATATTTGGGTGTGGGTGTGGGTGTGTGTGTTTTCTTTTGTGTGTGCGTGTGGTGTGGTGTTTCTGTGTGTTTTTCCGGACGGGTTTTGTTTTTGTTTTCAGTCCTTTGGCGTCTATGGGGGGGGGTCTGAGGGGTGTGGGGGGGCGGTGACTGAGAGTGTTTGGTATTTGTGTGTGGGTGTGGGTGTGACTGTTTTTTTCTTTTGTGTGTGGTGTGTTTTTTTTGTTTTGTTTTCAGTCCTTGTTCCATGGGGTCTGAGGGGTGTGTGTTGTGTGTGTTCCTGGTGTTTTTGTTGTGTGTGAGAGAGAGAGAGAGAATGTGTGTCTGTGTCTGTATGTGTATGTGAGTGTATGTGTGTATGTGTGTGTGTGTGTTGTGTGAGTGTGTCTTTGTGTGTATGTGAGTGTGTGTCTGTTGTCTATACCTACATGTGTCTGTCTCCCGTCTACACCCACGTCTGCTTCCATAAAACTCAAAAGGAATAAACACAAACAAACACCTACATCCTCTTGGACCCAGAAAAGCCTCTCATCTCACTCGCAGGATCCCCCTCCACATAAGGATAAAAAAGAGAAGGAAATGGACGTCGGCAACTCACCCGCAGGATCCCCCTCCACATAAGGATAAAAAAGAGAAGGAAACCGACGTCGGCAACTCACCTAGATCCCCTCCACATAAGGATAAAAAAGAGAAGGAAACGACGTCGGCAACTCACCCGCAGGACCACGTCCTCAGGATCCCCCTCCACAGAAGGATAAAAAAGAGAAGAAAAACGACGTCGGCAACTCACCCGCAGGATCCCCCTCCACATAAGGATAAAAAAGAGAAGGAAACCGACGTCGGCAACTCACCGCAGGATCCCTCCACATAAGGATAAAAAAGAGAAGAAAAACCGACGTCGGCAACTCACCCGCAGGATCCCCCTCCACATAAGGATAAAAAAGAGAAGGAAACCGACGTCGGCAACTCACCCGCAGGATCCCCCTCCACATAAGGATAAAAAAGAGAAGAAAACCGACGTCGGCAACTCACCCGCAGGATCCCCCTCCACAGAAGGATAAAAAAGAGAAGAAAACCGACGTCGGCAACTCACCCGCAGGATCCCCCTCCACATAAGGATAAAAAAGAGAAGGAAACCGACGTCGGCAACTCACCCGCAGGATCCCCCTCCACATAAGGATAAAAAAGAGAAGGAAACCGACGTCGGCAACTCACCCGCAGGATCCCCCTCCGCATAAGGATAAAAAAAGAAGAAGAAACCGACGTCGGCAACTCACCCGCAGGATCCCCCTCCACATAAGGATAAAAAAGAGAAGGAAACCGACGTCGGCAACTCACCCGCAGGATCCCCTCCACATAAGGATAAAAAAGAGAAGGAAACCGACGTCGGCAACTCACCCGCAGGATCCCCCTCCACATAAGGATAAAAAAAGAGAAGGAAACCGACGTCGGCAACTCACCCGCAGGATCCCCCTCCACATAAGGATAAAAAAGAGAAGGAAACGACGTCGGCAACTCACCCGCAGGATCCCCCTCCACATAAGGATAAAAAAAGAGAAGGAAAACCGACGTCGGCAACTCACCCGCAGGATCCCCCTCCACATAAGGATAAAAAAGAGAAGGAAACCGACGTCGGCAACTCACCCGCAGGATCCCCCTCCACATAAGGATAAAAAAGAGAAGGAAACCGACGTCGGCAACTCACCCGCAGGATCCCCCTCCACATAAGGATAAAAAAAGAGAAGGAAACCGACGTCGGCAACTCACCGCAGGATCCCCCTCCACATAAGGATAAAAAAGAGAAGGAAACCGACGTCGGCAACTCACCCGCAGGATCCCCTCCACATAAGGATAAAAAGAGAAGGAAACCGACGTCGGCAACTCACCCGCAGGATCCCCCTCCACATAAGGATAAAAAAGAGAAGGAAACCGACGTCGGCAACTCACCCGCAGGATCCCCCTCCACATAAGGATAAAAAAGAGAAGGAAACCGACGTCGGCAACTCACCCGCAGGATCCCCCTCCACATAAGGATAAAAAAGAGAAGGAAAACCGACGTCGGCAACTCACCCGCAGGATCCCCCTCCACATAAGGATAAAAAAGAGAAGAAAACCGACGTCGGCAACTCACCCGCAGGATCCCCTCCACATAAGGATAAAAAGAGAAGGAAACCGACGTCGGCAACTCACCCGCAGGATCCCCCTCCACATAAGGATAAAAAAGAGAAGGA